TGGGAAGAAATGGGAACTGCGCAGGCGCAGGAGGGGTTTTCGCGGGGTTTCGGCGGCGCGCGCAGGCTCGCGGAGCGTGTGCGCGTGCGCGGCGTCTGCGCGGCGCGCGCGCGGAGCGGGCGGGAAGGAGGAGGGAGGAGGAGGAAGGAGGAGGAAGGGGGGGCGGCGCAGGCGCAGCTGAGGCGGCGGCGGCGGCGGCGGCGGGACGGGCCCGGCGATCGCTCCGCGCTCCGTCCGCGCCCCCCTCGGGGCCTCTTCCCCCCCCTCCCCTCCTTCACTCCCCTCACAAACAACCGAGCGCCTCGTCCTCCCCCCCTCGAAGCTCCCCGCGGGCTCCGCCTCTTCCTTCCCTCCCTCCCTCTCCCCGTCCCCGCCCCGCGCGGCCTCCCCTGAAGGCCCGGCCCGGCCTCGCGCTCCGGCCTCCGCGCCGCCGCTTCAGCGCGCCCGCGGCTTCCGCTTCCCCCCCTCCCTCCTCCCTCACCCCCTCCCTCCCCTTTTTCCCCCCCCCTTCCCTTCCCCTCACGCCGGACCCGCCATGGACGTGAAGCGGCTGAAGGTGACCGAGCTGCGGGCCGAGCTGGGCCGGCGCGGGCTGGACGCCCGCGGGCTGAAGGTGGAGCTGGCGCAGCGGCTGCAGGAGGCCCTGGACGCCGAGATGTTGGCGGCGGGGCCTGAGGAAGGCGGCGGCGGAGGAGGAGGAGGAGGAGGGGGAGGCCCGGCCGCCGCGCCCGGGGCCTGCGGAGGAGGAGCAGGAGCAGGAGAAGCGGGGCCGGCGGGAGGCCCGGCCGGGCGGCACCACCACGGAGGGGAGGAGGAGGAGGAGGAGGAGGAAGAGGAGGAGGAGGAGGAAGAAGAGGAGGAGGAGGATGAGGAAGCGTTGCTGGCCGACGAGGACGAGGCGGCCGCCGCGGCCCCCGAGGCGGCCCCGGCCCAGTCCGGCCCCCCCGGGGAGGAGGAGGAGGAGGAGGAGGAGGAAGAGGAGGCGGCCCCGGCCGAGCCCGCGGGCCCGGAGCCGCCGCAGCTGCAGCCGCCGCAGGAGGAACCGGCGGCCGAGGCCGAGCCCGGAGCGACCGAGGGAGGAGGAGGAGAAGGAGGCGGCGGCGTGAACGGGGCCGAGCGGCCGCCGGAAGAGGCGCCCAGCGGGGACGAGGCGGCCGCGGCCGAGGCCAAGGAGGAGGGAGCGCAGGCGGGTGAGCGGCGGGGAGACCCCCGGGAGGGACATCCCCAACCTGGGAGGGACCTTATGATCCCCCGGAGGGACCCCCCAGGATCGGGAATGGACCCCCGGGAGGGACCCCCACGACCTGGGTTGCACTTCCTGACCCCCGGGAGGGACGTCCCCAACCTGGGAGGGACCCCCCAGGATGGAGAATGGAGCCTGGGAGGGATCCCCCTAACCAGGGATGGACCTTACGACCCCCATAGAGGAGCCCCCGGCCCTCGAGAGGGACTCCCCGAGCCGGGAATGGACCCCCGGGAGGGACCCCCCCAACCTGGGTTGCACTTCCTGACCCCCGGGAGGGACGTCCCCAACCTGGGAGGGACCCCCCAGGATGGAGAATGGAGCCTGGGAGGGATCCCCCTAACCAGGGATGGACCTTACGACCCCCATAGAGGAGCCCCCGGCCCTCGAGAGGGACTCCCCGAGCCGGGAATGGACCCCCGGGAGGGACCCCCCAGGATGGAGAATGGAGCCTGGGA